GAACAGTTGCCGGGTTAGTGCCTGGTTGCAGTTTTGGTCAAAAAAAATGTCTGCTATGCGTTTATGGTCTTCTGAATTTATTTATTTTTCCATAAGCCACTAAATGTCTGTTGGATTTCCATACAAATATAGAATGCATGATACGCTAATCTCCTAGCATTGTCAAACAAACTTGTGCTCATGATCACCTAGCCAAAATATCAGTATCTTAGTTTTGATTAAATTTGAGCCGCATTGTACTCATGATTGGTAATTTGATGTTGATCTACAAGATATATTATCTCATGAAATATTTTGGCATTCTGTTGTAACGCACGGTCTATATAGTAGAGTTTGTGAGCCTGTGGCGCCGTGCTCTCCGTGACTGTGTTAATTTCACGAACTTTACTTTTTTTTTGAAATAGAGCCGACAGGAGAGCTGCCTATTGTATTAAAAAGAAGGGAGCCTAGAAAGGCACTGTACAAACATATACAAATGTGTACAAGAGGGCAAAAGCCAGACACGCCCCACCTCAAGTTGCCTCAAATCACACGCGCAATAATAAATTGGAGATATGCTTTGCTCCCGCCATTGCCCACAAGTCAGCCTCTTCCTTATCTTCTGGAGGAGATGCATTGGTGCGGATTCTTTGCGCTTAAAGATTCTTACATTTCTTTCATTCCACACCTCCCAACAAACAAGAATGATAATGGAGCGTAGTCCTTGCCTCGCCGTCGAAGGTGTTCGATCTAGGTTTTTCCACCAAGTTTGTACGGAGTCTCCTAGCACCCAGGCAGAAGGTCGCATGTGTTCATTGCCTAGCCACATTGCAATGCCCTCCCAAATGCACGAAAGAAATGGATATTGGAGATTTCTTTCTGTCGATATAAAACATTATCTTAGGCGCATCACGGAAAGATCTATAAAGTAGAGTTTGTAAGCTTGTGACGCCACGCTCTCCGTGACTGTTAATTTCACAAACTTTGTTTTTTTAATTAACTGTAATTTTAACGTTGATATTTAATTTTTACAGTATTGTTATCTTATCGTGCGATCCGTGTGTTTTTAGTATAAATTATTAGCTATCCCGTAGCAATGCACAGGCACGCTACCTAGTCATATAATAAATCTTAACTTATGTGTCTTCGTATTTTTTATTAGAATCAATAATCAAGAATTAAGAGTATGCTTAGATACGGTTTTACAAATATGAGTATGTTTAGATACCTTTTCATATAAGTGTATGTTTGCATACTTTTGTTCATCATAGTATCATTTGATATTTTTCACATTATAGTATAACTTGACAAACATTTTTCTGATTGGTTTGGAATCATGATGTTCATGAAGGGCTCAAATATACGAGGGATGAGTATGGCATGGTGAAGTAGTAAGTTCAGAGTTTATAGCTGAAGCTATCTTGTAGTGACTGCATATATGTTCAGTTTAGATAACTTTTGTCAGCCCGTAGATACAGCAGAATTGCATCTCAGTTTGCATCCACATTATAGATAAAGTTACTGCAGTCAACTGGAGAATGCTTGCTTCTATAAATGGACCAGTCTAGTGAAATTAGAAGTGAGTATATATATGTGCACAGCAAAGGGAGTTTATACTTTTACTCCCTTGTAAAAAGATGTACAAATACTCCTCAAAATTGTATACACCATACAAAATCTTTTTGTAAAGTAGTATGTATATATACTCTCTTTGCAGAAGTATGTACTAATAGTAGCTCGTCAAAAAGTATGCACGCATACTAGCAAGTATGTGTACATACCAGCGTCTGCAAATTATATGGTCCATAATATATATATACATGAACGTACCATCTTATCAAAAACAGCATGTATTTGTCAAAATAATAGAATAGTATGTACACATACTCCCTTGTAGCAAAAAATATATACATATACACTCCAAGTATGAATGCATACGTCCTAAAAACTGTAATGTGCACATATATACATATACACTCCAGCGTATAGATCCGATTTGTCCGTTAATAGTTATCCGGCCAGGTGCACCTCCGATGATTATTAAATAATATTCAGGTATATACTTGCCTCAAAAGAAGTCACGTATATACCAACAGTACCCGTACATACCACATACCAATTGGATCCTATCCAAACCCGTGAGGAGAGCAAACGGGCCGCACCCCACCCTCGACGTCTCCGTTTCCTACATTCCCCACCCCCGACGTCTCCGTTACGTTAGCACCACCGACGTTTTCCGAGCGCGTGACTCGCTGGACGGCGCGTGTACTCTCAGGTGCGTGCGCGTGCGCGTGCGTGTGCGTATACACCCACCCGCGCGTCTGGTTTTCAAGCTGGCGGATGGAGCTGCATGCACATCAGTAATAACGATCATTTACTATCGCTAATTACTATTACTATAATCACCAGTATAGTGCCCGTACTAACGCCACGGCGTCATTTCAGGGATGCACATTAAAATTTGGATTGTAAATATACACATTAATCAAAAAGTCAGGCTTAGCGCTGTTGATGAAACTTGAAATTTATATATACATTAATCCAAAATTTATATATATACACATTATAATCAAATGAACAGCTCTATGCTTCTGCCGATTCCGAATCTAATAGTGAGATATTACTGCACGCCTTGCCGCTGTTGATGAAACTTGATGACAACCTTGCAGTGAAGACTACCTCAAGTTGCTCAGCAGCAGAACATCCTCCACTTTCAGTAAAAGTACAAAACAATGCATCTGTGGTGCTGACCATAGCGAGCATTCCTATATTTGGCAAACGCCACGGCAAACCATGTTGACATCTTAAAAGAATGCAGCATGCCATAGTTCCTAAAATATTTCCAAAAACAGCGCACAAATTTCAATAGTGATACGATTAAGATCCAATGCACCAGGTATTTGTCCACATAATGGATGAGTAATCTGCCACTTTCCATATCTTGAATTCTACAGTGTATACGTGTCAGCTCTTATATAGTATATGGAAAGTGAAAAAGTAGTTTCTAGCTGTTATAGAATTGCTGAACCATACACAGAGAAAAAAAAATTTGCCTCATTACAAGGCGTGTTGCTCCTGATCCATGTCCTCAACAGCTGAAAATAGTGAGCCACCATTAAAAAAAAAGACGGCGACGACGACAACCAAGCATGTTGCTGCAAGCTATACAACCTCGAATGTGATCCTCTCAGTGCTGCCTCCACCGATTCATATGTCCCTGAAAACGTGTGGATTTTTAACCTTGGGCATGATTGTCCCACCCACTTGACATCACCTATAGGTGTGACAAAATGGAAATCTCTAGTAACATCCCACAATTGAGGCATGGACAGCACACATGAGAATCCCAAATCACCGCTTCTCCACTACCAGGAAGGAGCTATTGAAACAAAGTGACTACCAGAACTACAAGTGCTCTCATATTGCTGATTGTAGAAATTTATTATTTAATTCTAGTATATTGCTCGTGCTAACGCTACGGCGATATCTATTTTGCTGTTGCCCTCAGGTTTAGACTAGGCTTCAACAATCTCAAACATCAGCACACAATTCCTCATTTTTTTTCATGGTCCAACAGATATAAAATGCCCCAAACCGAACTAACCAGAAATTGTGAAAATTCTTAACATATTTGGATAGGAGATATCATGACCAACAGAATATAAAAGACAGTTCTCAAATTCAACTTAGTCATTTGTTATCCAATATATGTCCCAAAAGAGCTCAAGGATATTTGCATTTCTATGCAGAAAAAAAAGTTCTCAAATTAAATTTAGCAATTTGATACAAAACATCCTAGTTTTCAATGCCACCACTAATCACAAACCATATGCATATCTCAAATTAATGTATAGAATACAAACACCATTCAAACAATTCCTCCCAAATATAATCGTTGTTCCCACAAGGGCACAAGGTATTTGAAGAATATTTGCATTTCTGTTCATACAAAAAACTTTTCTAATTTGGTTTGGCAACTGCTTATCCATAAGATATCCTAGACTCGTACGGAAACAATTATTTGTAAGTAAATAATAGACAATATAAAGGAGATAATAATACAACTTCAATGGAACTTCTTAGTTACCTTTGCTTCACTGATTGCAGCCTCTGATGTTCTGTACCTGGTGGCGGAAGACAACATATGCGGAAGTCAATGCAGATACTGCCAGTATCTATTGCCTCTTCTCTGCCCTTTTCAGTTTTGACCAGGAAAAAGTTCTTCAGATGGAAGAATATCACCTCAATATCACCAGCTATCCCAGTCCAACCATTAACCATTACATATGTTATGAAAAAAAAATTCCTTCGTCGGGATGGAGTCACCAATGATCCTTGGTATGCTGCAGAAATAAGCAATTTAGACACTCCGGAAATCATGACTGCCATTCATAATTTCATTAAGAGAATGCAAGGAATAGATTATCAGAAACATATAATGTCGTGCTATGATATATTTCCGAATTTTCTCGATCTCTGATTTGCAATAGTCAATAGCATCCACCTTGGAACCAAAACATCCAAGAAAGACAGCCTGCAACAAAGCTCAGTTAAAGCACAAGGAATTAATACTAAATATACTAATACAGTATTCCAGTTTACAGATGCGCAAACCAAAAACTACATCAAAGAACAGCATAGCTTAGCTATATAATTATTGTTGCCTATTCTTGCCTCTCTGATGGATTCGCTCATATTTTATCGGTAATAATCAAGCGAGTTTTGCATCTTCTTCTTCTTTTCAACCAGATCAGCGAGTTTATTTGCGTTGTAAACCACCTAAATAGCAACAAGGAAGATTTATTTTCCTTCCCTATTGTAGAACAATGTTAAATCCGAGAAGAGTCTACTACTACCCTGGGACGAAAAGAAGATGCGTGAATCAAAACCGATGTGTCAGATTGGTGCTATGCAAGATCGATGGAAAAAAAAGTTTGGGTGTAGGCTTGGATTTGGTCTCGAGCGATCGATGGGAGATGGGGACAGCTTACCTGTGAGTTGGGATGGATCTCCGCTCGGCGTCAAGGGGTGCCCTCGTTGGACGAGTTGGGATGGATCTGAGCGCTCGGCGAGGTTCCAGGGGTTGCGACGAGGTCGGCGGCCTGGCGGCAATGGTCTCCCCCACGCAAATCAGAACAGACGGCGAGCGTCGCGAGCCGAGGGGACGAAGCACCGGGGTCGCCGCCCAGCCTGATATCTGCGACCTTCTCCTCGCTCACCCCTCCACCGTGATGCGTGGGGACGGAGCACCGGGGTCGCCGCTTGGCGGCGATACGCACGGGAGCGGGGCAACAAGACCGCCTCCCAGCGGCGAGTGCAACCGCGTGCTCGAGCAGAGGTGAGGCGGCCAGGCAGGGCAGCAGGGCACCGAGTCTGCTCCCGGCGTCCAGCGCGAGCGGGGCAAGGACTTGGATCGAGCAGCCGCCGTCCGCCCACCTCCGCGTGCGCGCCTGGGGAGGCGCGCCCCCAGCCAGGCCAACAGCAGCCGCGGCGAGCATGACTCCGGGTAGCCTGGCGAGGGCCGCCGCGCGGCCTGGAGAAGGGCGGCGAGCGGCACCGGCGGGTGGCGGGGAACCCTAGCCACGGCACACGAAGAGTCGCAAATAGCCGGACTAACAGGGGAGAGGTGAGGGGACGATGTTTAAGTTTTTTTTTTTTGGGAAAAGAAGACAGCCGAGGATTCGAACCGGCCGTGGCTGTGAGGTGCGGGCCTGGGCGCCGGTGTGGGAGGTGCGAGGGATGAGGAGGTTGACACATTCAATCTGGACCGACGTGGGTGAGCAAGGAGAGAGAAGAAATTAGAAGGAATCTGCACAGTCCGTTTTAAAGAAGATGTTTTTTTTTTGTATAATTTTGTGGGTGGATGGATGGGGGGCATCTCAGTAAGGGACGTTTTTGATGTGGATTTAGCAAAGAAAAAAATGATGAATTAGTAGAGTAGATTATCCGGCCAGAGTCAACGCATGCATGTTCGGTTATTATAGTAACTGGCCTATTTTAGATCTGTGAATTACGTTTACTAGAATATATGATGCCTTTTTTACGATAATCTATTTACTAGACTTGCAAATTTTTTACTAGAATCTATGCCTTTCTACCCTTACTAGTTACTTTTACTAGATTTTTACAGTAATCTTTACTAGATTTTAGTAGAAATATATATATATATTCCCAATGAAACCAGGTTCCAGTGGACCCATGACGTGATTACTACATCCTGATTGCCGGAGCTGCTGGCTGCCCCAAATAGGCGCAATCATTTATGGAAAATAAATCGTATTTACATCACGGTGATTTCGGCAAATGATGTTCACGATATGTCCTTGTCTGCATGCAAGCTCGGACGTACTCTAGTTACGAGAATGCATATTGTGTTACAAAATTAAGGCAAGTTATGTTGATGGTTTTGTTACTATAAAACAGGATAAATTTTGGTTAGGATATAGTACGAGTATAATTCAAACATCACGAAACGGTAACAGGACAGGAGTTAACCACAATTAGACATCAAGCTTTGCCTTTAGGAATCAATTAGTATAATGTCGAGAAAAAATTACGATAATAATAGATAGGAAAGGTTACCACAATACCATCATTAATTTACGAGAATGACACTCTTATTTTACAACGACATTTACCACAATAAAACATCATGCCGAGTTACGATAAAACAGCGGTTTTTCTATCATTGATCCAGAGAAAAATCCAACCAATTATCTCCCCTCTCGTACCGGATCTGGCCTCTGTGGCAGGGAGACGAGGACGTGCGCAGGGAGGCTGGGGAGGAAGACGAGACCACCCCGCGGGCGGAGACGGGAGGCGAGGGTGGAGACGTGCGACCTCCACGCTGGCGCGGGCGGACACGGACGAGTTCCAACAGGTGGCTCGCGAGTCGCGAGGTCCGGCGTCTCGACCAGCGACGGACCTAGGAAATGCCGTAAAAAAAATTCGTTATGCAATTCGGTAAACCATTTGTAATTTGGTAAAACTATATTCTAATTCGGTAAAACCAACTACATTAAATAATATGATAAGCCTTAAATTAAAATATTAAGCTACAAACGACGATTAGTCTCGATATAAATTGTTTAAAATGAAACCCAAATAATTCATAATATAGAATCGATCTGTTTGGAACTTTCGGTTAGAAAACTCACAAGTCATAGGATATGATGGACTAATGACCGAATGCTAATTATTGATCTGATGCAGTGATGCGGATGAATGAACTCACGAACTGGAAAAAAATGACTCATACATAAATAATTAAAACTATTTAAGTACACAAGTAAGAAGAAGAATAGAAGATTAATCTTAAACCTATCTGTCATTGTAGTGTCTCAAGATCTCACCGAAAGCGGTAGCCGCCGAGACGATAACGCTGCGAGCCCTCGACGTCGGGCCATGCGTGCGCGCCCCTCCGAAGTCTGGCGAGTCGGCGGCGACCGTCGTGGCGCGTGGCGATGGGCGGTGGGCGCGTGTGCGTCGTTCCGTGATGGCGTCGGCGTGACCGCTGGATTTGACTCTGCTGCTTATGTTGCGACGATCCGGCAAATGATGGTTGCAAAGGCGGTCTTGCGTGAGTCAATGCGTGGGACCGATGGGGTTTCGAGCCGTGGAGCGAGTAATCGCTACTGAAAGCGCCGATATCGCGAAAGTTCGCGTGCCGCACGTAGGCCGAACTACCGGGAGGCGTCGGGTACTCGGGCATGTCCACCAGGTAGTAAGCTTTTTTCTTTTTTTCTTACATAAAAATTTATATTCTGGTTCACTTACACCTGGACCCCAAGGTATGCGGTGGCCCACCCAGCGTACCCTGTGGGTCCGTCCATGGTCTCGACGAGATGTCGCGCCCGACGCGTGGTGGCTCATGAGGTCCGGCGGCCTGGCGGCCTGGCGTGGCGTCGTGGCCGCCGGCCGGCCGACGCGCTGGTGTGAGGTCCGGCGAGGCATCGCGGCCGACGGGCGAGTGGCTCGCGAGGTCCGGCGGCCCGGCGAAGCGGCGCGGCCGACGCGCGGGATGCTCGCACGGTCCAGCGTCGTGGTGCAACGGCGAGCCCGCGAGGTCCCCGGCGGCCCGACAAGTCGTCACGAGTCACGACAGGCACGCGAGGTTTGGCGACAGTGCTGGCCGGCGACGAGGTGCAGTGACGGGGCCGGCGATGCTTTGCGGGAAACACGCGAGGTCTCACAGCGGCGCTGTGCGGTGGCGGACTCGGCCGGGATCCATACGAGCCAGTTAATATAGGGCGTGTTTGGGACCACGGTTACCCACCGCGCGGTGCGGTACATGTATCGCCAGTTCATTTGTGCTGTTCCGATGCCGTGTGTGGGGAAAAAATCATCGCACCGTGGGAGCGTTTGGCACAATTCTCGGATTATTTTCACCGCCGCCGCAAGAAACGCGGTCCCAAACACGCCCATAAGCCGCTAGATGTACACTTGCGAGTTTGCAGCCATGCAGCGTGGAATTAGGGACCAGCGCGATTGAATCATTGAATGGCATGCATGCATGCATTAGCCGAACGGGACCACCGAGCCAAAGCCACGCGCGTGACCATGGTGCTTTGGTGACGCTCACGCTCGTTATTTTTGGTACGGCTACAAGATAACTTATTTTGTAAACAGCTAAAGGTAGCAGTTATATATATATATATATATATATATATATATATATATATATAAAAGCAACCCTATTCTACACCTTAGTTGTAGAACCACAAGACCAAACTAATAAAAAAATATTGAGTACTACTGAACCACATCACGTATCTCTCAGTACTACACACATGACTACGAAATACTGAATAATACTGAAACGCGAGTACTAAATTCTATTCAGTATAATAGGTTGGTATAAAAAAGTATCCACGCATATATATATATATATATATATATATATATAACTATATTTTCTATGTATTCCTAAGTACTTAAAAGGATTAAGATGCCCAAGAGAAGGGGTGAATTAGGTTAATTCTTAATTTCTTTACAATAATTAAACCCTACGATTATCTCAACTTCACCCCTTGTGCCTAGACAGTGTTTCTAATGTTCTACCGCATAAAAAGTCTTGCAACATAAGTTTCAATCCTACTCTAACATGACAATTCTATGAATGTAAAGACAAGAATTGAATTGCTCAAAGTAAATGCTCAAAGTAAAAAGAGAAGTAGAAACGTGGCGATGTTTTGCCAAGGTATCGGAGAGTCGTCACTCCCCACTAGTCCTCGTTGGAGCACCCGTGCAAGGGTGTAGCTCCCTCTTGATCCTCGCAAGGATCAAGTGCTCTCTACGGGTTGATTCTTTGACACTCCGTCACGGTAAATCACCCACAACCGCTCACAACTTGAGTTGGGTCATCCGCAAGCTCCGCCGGATGATCACCAAGCTCCTAATCACCACCAAACCGTCTAGATGATGGCGATCACCAAGAGTAACAAGCATGAGCTCTCACTTGACCACGACAAGCCTAATGAGAAAGGTGGATGCACACTTTGCTACTCTTGCTTTCACTAATAAGGGCTCTCTTTTGGATTCTTAAATCTCAATCACCTCACTAGAACCTTGCTCTTTTTGGCACTCTCAAGGGAGTTTCTCAGCTGTTGGAATGAGCAAAAGTACTCCCTCACACGAATGGAGGAAGTATTTATACATCCGTGTTCAAAACGAACCGTTATGTGCCTCTGCGGGGTGATCGGACGCTCCGGTCAGTTCTCCTCGACTCCCAGTGTTTAAGTTGTGACCGGATGCGTCCGGTCACGATTTTCCCTCTCTTGCCAGCGTCCGGTCACTCACCTCTCAGCGTCCGGTCACGCCAGACGATTTCACCTTGATCAAATGAACTGGCCGGACTCGGCGCCAGCGTTCGGTCACACCGGAACCAGCGTCCGGTCAGCATTTGACCCTCCATTCACTTCCAACTCTCAATCATACGTGAATGAAGTTTGCTCCAATTGATCTAAGGGCTGTTTAGGAGCTATCTAGTGCTAGATTTGATAAGTGTGCACCACATCTAACCCACTAGACACACCTAGGTCAAGCTACCCGTCCATACCCTCATTAATAGTACGGCCAAAGGAAAAACAAAGTCCTAAACTACTCTAAATGTCTTCTCAACACCAAACGACACTTAGAACTAGTCCATCCTTAACCTTGTCGTCCATCCTTTGAAAACCGAAACGATTTCCATCATAGGGGCATGACAACCATGATTGCCCAATCAATCTCCATTACCATGACCTAACTTAATTGCATCTGCAAAACACACGTTAGTCATAGTAATTACATATTGCCATTAATCACCGAAACCCAACTAGGGTCCTAGATGCTTTCAATCTCCCCCTTTTTGGTGATTGATGACAATACCACCTCGAGTATGTGAAAGAGATGAGGTTTTTAATATGCTTGGTTCATATAAGCCTTTGACAATAAGAACAAAAGAGTTAGGCAAGCTTATATGACCCAAGCCAATATAATATACTCAAAAGATATGAAA